TGACACAGTCTGTATTCCACTTCACAAAAGACATGCCAAACCAGGTGCCGGTGACTCATGCCTGTAATCCTAACTACTCAGGAGGCTGAGATCTGAGGATCTGAGGTTCAAAGCCAGCCTGGGCAGGAAAGTCTGTGACTCTGTGACTCTTAACTCCAATTAACCACCAGAAAACTAGAAATGGTGCTGTGGCTCAAGTGGTAGAACACTGATGGTGGGCTAAAGAGCTGGCGCACAGAGCCCAGGCGCAGGGTTCAAGCCCCACAACCGACCCCAAAAAAACAAAAAAAAAAAAAAAAAAAGACACACCAAACTCTCTTAGTATACTGTGTCCTTTTATAGTTCTTTATTGTTACCTCATCTTAGAATGCTAGATTCTACATTTCTAATACTGTGGTTTTAGTAACATGCAGTCTACATCCCAGTGTGGTAAGTTTACTAAGTATTTCAGTACCTAAACAAGCTCCATCATCTTTCCTGCCTGAAAGAAATTTCACTCTACTTTATACTCTATTTCTTCCACTCAGTCAATTTCTCCATTTTGGGTCCATGACTTAAAACAGATTTTCTAGTACCATATTCTTACTAGATTTTTGGATACTAGAAATAGAAGGGAAGCCATTGCTTTGGAGGTTTCCTAGGGAGACTCCTAAATGTATACTGTATAGTTAAGTAGTTCTTTTTGAAAAAAATATATGTTGATAAATGTCTATCTTTTCTGGCTATTTAGTTAATATTTTATTAAACTTTTCTCTGCATCTTAAGGCTTCATTTTACATTTGAAGAATCCTTCACTTTGGTGCAAGACAAACTACCTCTCTATTCCCTTGTCCTCTTTGCATCCAGGACACTCTTACTTTATGTTGAATGAAGAAATTTACCTACTTCAGGCTCCACCAAAATTTGAAATTTAAGGCCATAATGTAAAGAAGTGGAGCATAGAGAAGTCTGTGGTAGTAGTAGAGATGACAGTAATGACATGAAATTACCATGGCCATAGTATCAGCTATCCAAGTATGGGGCTTGAACTCAAGGCCTGTGCCCTTGGTATTCAGAGTGTAAAGCAACAGTGGTTTCTACCACTAGATCAGTTCCAAATTTACTTTTCTTGCTTGAATTTGCCTGGTACGTATTTCCAACTTTATAACTTTATTGTACTTGTGATCAAATTAAAGATCTCTAAACTCAGTAATCAAACTGTCAGTTTAATTAGTGTTTTGTTTTTGTTTTTTAATTACCTAGTGCTTCAACTGTTTACTTGGAATTGTATTATAAAATGTTCTCTTACTGGGGCAGGCCCAAAGCACTTGCACCAAATCAGCATGGCCATTAAAGAAGTGTGATCTTGTATATTCTAGGAATGCAAACAGTTATGGGAGATGATGTCTCCTTGTTTTTGTAATTTTGTTTGGAACATGTTGAAATGGGTATGTTCTTTACTACAACTTTTAAATATTTGTATATTTAAAAATGAAAATTCATTTAGATCTTTTGAAAAATCCCAATAAAAACCTGCCACAAAATCATACTACCACAGTATTTTGTAATATGTGTGTACATGTATGTTATAATTGTGCTGTGTAAAGTTAATAAAAGAGCAATCTGATTTATAAATGTTTGAATTTAATGTTTGTAGTTTTCATTTCATTTTATTTAAAGTATTGCCTTACCCATATTTGTTTTAACTTCATATTATTAAAAGATCTCTGAGTCATTTCTATGGCTGCAGAGAAAGTTTTCAGCATAGCAGCAATCTACTGGTATGTAGTTAGAAAACTGATTTCTCCTAAATGAAAGATAAATAGAACTGTTGAGAATTTCTTACACCTGGGATAGTATTTGTAAAATTGAAAAGACCCTTATATTAACCATTTCATCATTATTGCAATATCACATAATTACTTTAGTTTAATTATGGGTTTGATAGTGTTCAGAATCAGAAAACTATGGTGGATGCTTGGAAGGGAGAAATGAATTAACACAGAGATCTTTAGTCATGTTAACATGGAAATAAGTAAAGAAGGGGGAGTTTTATTGGATTGTCACTGTGTAACAGAATGTATTGTTTCATTAAATATGTAATCTTAGAATGTAAGCAAGTGTTTTCTTTTTAAAAGTTTGTTTGGCCAGGTGCTGGTGGCTTACACCTATAATCCTAGCTACTCAGGAGGCTGAGATTGGAGGATCGTAGTTCAAAGCATCTCAGGCAGGAAAAGTTCATGAGACTCTTATCTCCGGTTAACCACCAAAAAACCAGAAGTGACACAGTGGCTCAAGTGGTAGATTACTTGCCTAGACCTGAAGAAGGGGGGAAAAAAGTTTGTGACAGTCCTAAGGCTTGGACACTGACCCTAATCTTTTTTTGCTCAAGGCTAGCACTTTACCACTTGAGCCACAGCTCCACTCCTCCCCCCCACTGGTTAATTGGAGATAAGAATCTCATGGACTTCCCTACTCTTGCTGGCTTCAAACCACAATCCTCAGATCTCAGCCTTCTGAGTAACTAATATTACAGGTATAAGCCACTCGTACCTGGCTGGTATTTTCTGCTTTAAAATTGGACAGATATTCTTTGAAAAATATTATATGTTATGGTTAAGTGTTTTTTTTCTAAAGTTGAGGACAAAGTATTATGTCATATGATATAGTTTGTGATGACTTTGTCTACAAATAGTTCTTATCTACTTGTTTTTCTTTTTTATATCTTTATTGTAAAGGTGATGAACAAGGGGGAGTTACATTTACATAATTAAGATAATGAGTACATTAAATTTTAAACACTGTACCCCTTCCCTCTTTTTCTCCTGCTTACCCCTCCCCAACTTGTTTACTCATATTGATGCTGTCACCGTAATGGAGATGCAGTGATACTGGCAGTTGGTTGCTCCAAAATAGCTACACATAAAATAAAAATATATTTTCTAAAAAAAAGGAATAGAAAGGTCCCTTCTTTTTTTTGTTAAAAAAAAGGCATTAAAACATAAGAATAACCATTAGCTGAGAGAATACAGTTAATACTGTAAAGAAATATCAAGATGTCGGGGCTGGGAAGGTGGCTCAGTGGTAGAGCACTTGCCTTGCATGCGTGAGGCCCTGGGTTCGATTCCTCAGCACCACATAAGCAAAAAGAAAAAAGCCGGAAGTGGTGCTGTGGCTCCAGTGGTAGAGCACTAGCCTTGAGCTGAAAAGCTGAGGGACAGTGCCCAGGCCCAGAGTTCAGGCCCTACGAACGGATCCCAACAAAAAATAAAATAAAAAAATAAAAAAGTGACTTAAGATCTTTAAAAAAAAAAAAAGAAATATCAAGATGTATCTTAAATTATTAGCAGTAACACAAGAGGTTACTAAAACAGCACAACCAAAGGAAACATTGAAAACTGAAGCACAGAGCATCAGAGATGAAAAAGTGGATGCAATTGTTTCAATTTTCTGATATGGAGGAGCACAATAGTATCAATTTGATTGTATTGTTATATGAAGTTCATTACTGTTTTGCCAATTAGTAGAGGAAGCCCTCTTTATTCTAAGGTTAGATTAAGTTCTTGATTTAGTTCACAGAGATTACAAAATCTTGTCAGAAATGTAGTCATTAAACAACTGACATACATACAGCATATGCTGGTAGCTTTGTTTCCCTTAGTCTCCAGAGCACTTGACAAGCTTCCAGTGATTTTGTGTTACCAGCATGAGTACAGTTTTATGATACATCTTTTCTGTGGTATAGCTCAGAGATAAGAGTAGAACATTTTGTGTAGTATGCATAAGACCCTGGGTTCAATCCATTGCACCACTAAGAGGATTAAAATGGACTCTACATATTGCTCAGTTCTTATTCTTGTATTGTCCTTGTGGCGTTTGGGACTTATATCACCATTCCAGAGAACTTACTAACAATGGGGCATCCACTTAAAGGTAGTATTTTGAAGAGCATAAGTCTTTGGCCCTCTAAGTTAAAGTCCAAGTTACTAAGTGTTTCTAGTTTAGCTAAGCTTTAGCCTCTGTAAGACACTAGGTAATCAATATTTGGTTTTACTATGCTAAATGTAAAGATCACATGGACTAGAATACTTGAGCTAAATTGTTATTCTATTCCTATGATCAAGCTACCTAGACAGTCAAATTATAATAAACCAACTAAACCCAAGATATGACTCGGAAGTCCCATGATCAGTGCATTTGTTTTATAAAATTATAATACATTTAGTTAAATCATGAATAGCAATGAATTTGATGAGGCATGCCTACTTCATATGATTTCATATAACACAGACACCTTACAGTTATAGTGAGAAGACAATTTCTTCATGTCTAAATTTTATAAGAACATACCAGAATATATGTCAGCTTGTTCTGAAAATTAGTATTCATCTCTGAAATGATACAAGTACAACCATCAGGATGGCGTTACCTCAATGAAGCTTCCTAAAGTTCACTGTGAACAGTTATGTGTGCCCATTGCATCTTGCAATACCTATGTCAGAACTCCTGGAGGATCCTAGGACCACTCTACCCAACATAGAAATGTTATAAGCAGAATGATTGTTAAGAACAAAGATTTTCTAGTGCTTAATGGGCTTAGATAGAAGGTCAAAATTGAACACTGTTGAATTTGTTTAGAAACCAGCTGTTTTATTAGTTCCAAGATAAACATCTTATACTGAGTCACATTATGTTATATATCAGAGGTAGGTGTCTTCTGGTTTCTGTGGAAAGCAGATGATGCTAGTAGATTTGAAAACTAGTAGACTTTAAAATATGTAGAATCAGGAGATAGAACGATTTTGAGTGACCCTAAAGGTCTTTTAATTCAAGACTTACATGAAGCATAAATATATTGTGATCTTTGCAAGTTCTGATTGGTGTTGAAAAGTGTCTTTACCTTTCCCTATAATATCTGATCATAATTGTCAGAATGGATCACGTTTTTCCCTATATCTATAGTTTAACTTTGGTTATTTTTCAAACATGGTATTCAGTGACATCTTGTGTTTTCCATTTAGCTTGTAACACTTCAAGAAGCAAAACTACTGCTAAATGAAGATGATTACCTTATTAAGGCTGTATATGACTACTGGGTGAGAAAGCGTAAAAACTGCAGGGGGCCATCCCTCATTCCACAAATCAAACAAGAGAAAAGAGATGGCTCTACCAACAATGACCCTTACGTTGCTTTTCGGAGGAGAACAGAGAAAATGCAAACCCGAAAGGTAACGTACAAATTAGATTTAATTGAATGTAGCTTACCAGTGTTTAAGACCAATAGTTTTTTCTGTTAGCTTGAGTAATTTTGAAAAATATGAACATACTAAGAGCTAATGACATTGATGAACGTTTATGTTAGAAATTCTACCCTTGAGTTGCCTATTATTGGTGTGTTTATATGGTGTATATTTTGTCTGTGTCCTTTATAAGTTCAGTCATACTGTTGGGCTTTCAGTTAACTGTTGGGCTTTCAGTTAAAGTGAAATGAGAAGTTTGTGTCCTACCATATCTAAGAAGTTTGAAGTTCTTCAGTAAACTTCATTCTATCATGAATCCCTTCTAGTTTGATGCTGATAGTTTGACCTACTGCTTTTCCTTGATGGTCACTTAGGAGCTCAAGTTTCCTTTGAAGGAGGATTCTAATTCCTGCAACTAAAAAATGGATCATGCTGTCCTAGTTACTATGGGATCGTGGGAAATAGTAAAATGTACATTTTCAGGTCTCTTCTGTCAAAAGTAATAGGGAATCTTTTTCTCTTCTGAATTGTCAGTTGTTGTGTCAAATTTCAGATGGACTTGTCCCTATGTGAGTTTCAGAAATAGTGTGAGCCAGAAGTTGAAACAGAAAGGATTTCATTTTCTGAAATTATTTGGAGTAGAGGAGGGCATTATTTCAAATAAGTTCTCACTACCTTACACGATTCCTAACAGTAAATACTACATATGATAACATTCTCTAAGACCACAAAGAATGGGGAACATGTAATGTAAAAGTGTGAAAATTATCATTTTCTGTATATTCTTTTTTTTCTCCTAATGTAAAGGCTTGTCTTTGTCAGTTTTTAACAAATAGCTGGTGATTGGACATTTTAGGAGAAATTCTTCTACTAGTTAATAACCAGAAGTTTTAACGTTCCTTAATACAGAGATACAATTTTTCTTAAATATGGGAGGATGTATTTCCCAACAATAGATAAATGATCATAAGTCAGGATGAGTTTTCAATTTAGCATTCTAATTCTTAGCAAAAGAAATCTGTTTTATGAAGATGTAAAACCTTACAAAGTAGTTTTGTGAGTACAGTAAAACCTTGAAAATGATACTAGATAAGAAGGAGAGGTTTACCTGAATGAGTGGAAAATCTGAAGTACCCATTGAAAATTTTAAAAGCAGTTTAACTGATTTAGAAATGCTGTAAAACATGGACTATTCGTAGTGTAACTTTTAAAGGAAAAGTACCACTGGACTTCCTTTACTGAGTTTGAAGTCATAAATTAACAATATTTTGGGTATATAATAAGTAATATTCTGAATTTTATATTTTATTTATTTGTTGGTACTGGTGATTGAACTCAGGGTCTTGTACTTTTGCCTAGCTTTTTCCCCCCCTCAAGGCTAGTGTTCTACCATTTGAGCCATATCTTCTCTTCTGATTTTTGCTGGTTTATTGGTAGTAAGATTTCTCTGCCTACCGCTGCTTTTGAACTGTTGTCCTTAGACCTTTGCCCTCTGAGAAACTAGGATTTCTTTAGTGCTCTTTGCTCTTTAATTCCTCTCTGTTTTCAGTTGGAGAACTAAAGATTGTTTACTGTACACTGTTGCTAGTTAGAAATGTTAATTAATTCAAAATTAGAAAGATGATAAATACTTAACCAAGAGTGTATACTTCCTAGGTGTTAAGGAGGTAGGCAAGCATTGAGGTAAGCAAAGTTGAATACAGCTAACAGGCTTTCTTTTTCTACACATAAAAACTCTATAACTGATATAAAGGCAGAAGGACTTCGAAATATTTCTTAGGCAGTCTAGATTTTAATTTTAGTATACTTCTAATATTTAACCTAAATATGCATAAGTACTTTGGGATTTTTTTCCCCCATACTAGGGATTAAACTCAGTTCCTCACACTTGCTAGACAGGTGCTCTGCCACTTGCACTGCATTTCTAGCCCTTTGTTGCACTGGTTATTTTTGAGGTATGTCCTGGGCTGCAATCCTACTTGTGCTTTCCATTGGCACTGAGGATAATTGGCCCTTGCCTCCGTACCCAGCAGTAGTATTCTTTTAGACATAGTTCTGTGATGAACATAAATTAAATACTAAATGGTTGTTTGATTTAACCAACAAAATAGCTTATACTAATAGTAACTATATGCAAATGAAGGTTTCTCATTACTGACCTTTCTTTGGGACTTTCACTTTGTAATCAGGTAAATCTTATGCTTAAAAAGAAGAACTGATTAACAATATAAAATTGAGAGTTTTGCTAAATTTCTTTACTGCCCTATAACATGGTGAAATTTTAAAATATAATCCATTTCTTGAGATGCCTGACACATCCCGTTTTCAGTTTTGAGTTTCTGGGTGAAGTTTTGAGTGTCATTGTTATTTCAAACAGGGTAAACATGACATGCAACAAATATCATGTTTATAATACCATGAGCCTTCTAATTCCACTTACAGAATTGGATGAATAGAGCCTCATTTTGCCTATTTTGGGTATTTGATCTTGGAAAACAATTTCTATAATTACAAAATACCTTGAGACAACACGTGGTGTAATTTTGGGGGCATACTAATTTGTTTGTATTAGAATTATCCCTTCTATGCCAACTGTCTTTTCAATAGCTGGTGACCTTTTTCATGAATATTTATTTGGGCTTATATTTTCAAAATTAAATATATTCATTTTCATGTATTGCTGCTTAGATTCTTTTTTTAATGTTTTTTATTGTAAAAATAGTGTACAGAGGGTTACAGTTACATGAGTAAGATAATGAGTACATTGTTGAGCGTTGGCTGCTTAGATTCTTTAAATATTCACCTTATAAATTTGTATCTGTATAAAAAATATTCATGAAGTGAAGTAAGCCAGGCCCAAAGAAACATAGGTCCCATGGCTTCCCTTATTTGCAATAACTAGTATATGTCTGAGTCAAGCAGAAAAAGTCAGATAAGTTGATGTTAGGGAAATGAACCCTAAGCTATGTATTCAAATGTTTTTTTCTTTCATGCGATTGTTTCTAACACATTTATAAGATTATTTCTTTGTTGCTTTGTATGTCCCTCCCCCATGGTATAACCCCTGCTTTCACTGTATTTGGTGTTGGTGTAATTTATGGAGGGGAAGGGAAAACAAATCGTTTAAATAGGGCTACAGGTAGACCCATTGCAACAACGAGATGTATAAGTCGTTATGTCGAAAAACGAACGTTACAACTTTGGTGTGGGGGGGGGTAAGGGGAGGATGGGATGGGAAGGGGAAACAAAGGAAGAGGCCACAATGCTTGATAAGAAATGTACTCATTATCTTGCTCATGTAATTGTAACCCCTCTGTACAGTATTTTCATAATTAAAAAATATTCATGAAGCTAGAGATGCAAATAATTGGGTTAATTATTTATTTTCTTACAATTTTTTCCATAGAATCGTAAGAATGATGAAGCCTCTTATGAAAAGATGTTGAAACTGAGACGAGAGTTTAGCAGAGCCATAACAATTTTGGAAATGATTAAGAGAAGAGAAAAAACAAAACGAGAATTATTGCACTTAACCTTAGAAGTGGTGGAAAAAAGGTAACATTGCTACCATTTCATACTATTGGCAGTTTTAGCTAAATGATGGGCGAAATGGATTAAAAAGAATTGGTGGAAAATGAGGGTATAAAACTCCAATAATACTGAATCTCTTAACAGAATCTCTTTAAGTTCACATTTTCTTTTAAGATTAGAAGGTTTTGAAGCTGGGCACAGGTGGCTCACGCCTGTAATCCTAGCTACTCAGGACACTAAGATCTGAGGATCATGGTTCAAAGTCTGCCCAGGCAGGAAAGTCCATGAGACTCTTATCTCCAGTAAACCACTAGAAAACTGGAAATGGTGCTGTGGCTCAAGCGGTAGAGTGCTTGCCTTGTTGCTGAAGAGCGCAGGGATAGCTCCCAAGCCCAGAATTCAAGCCCCACGACTTACCAAAAAAAAAAAGGGGGGTGGTTTAGATTAGATTTTCAGTTTCAGATTTAATGGATTTGGGTATGTGGAATAGCTTCTTTATAATAACCTCAAACTTTTGTGTAGTAGAATTTTAAACAGATTTGAAAGAAATGAATGTTTTTATTTTCTGACAGAGGACAAAATTTCTTGTTTTAATTCTTTACAAAAGTATATTCTTTAGTATACAGTCTAACATTATTCAATATAAAACTTAAATAGAATTTTCATGATTCCTAAGCTTTCTAAGTAACATTTCCTGTTGTTTCATAAATACATGGGAAATTCATGTTTGATGTACCTTAGTCATTTGGTTTGGTTTGATTTGGCTCATTTTCACTTAATCGCAGATATGACTTCTTTGCCTCTTTGTTTCCATCTGTTTTCACTTTTAAAAATAATCTGATTATTGGCTCTATTTTGCTGGCTTAATTAATTGAAACACTGATTTTTTTAAATTCTTCTTTAACATTATACTCTCCAATATCTTTTTATATTTGTTCTCTTTTCAAGATATCATTTAGGAGACTATGGAGGTGAAATTCTTAACGAAGTGAAAATCAATAGATCAGAAAAAGAACTATATGCCACTTCAGCAACTCTTCATAATGGAAATCACCACAAAGTCCAGGAATGTAAAACTAAGGTGAATATATGATTATTTTGGTCAAACAGTTTACCTATTTCTGCAACTATCTTAAAAATAGTGTGGTTGAGGAAACAAATGAATTTACTTCTTATTATTTGCTACCACTTTACTATATATACATTTTATATATATGGGGGGGGGGAGACTTATTAATCCTTGTAGCAATTCTTTAAAGTAGAATTTACCTCTGTGTCAATTCTAGATCATAAGTAATATGTCAAATTTACAGTCTGAAATTCACTTCTACCAAAGTACATACACTATTTGCTTTCCTAGATACTGTAAGTAAAGTTCATTATTACAGGCTTACAAGACTTGCATTGTAGTGGAAGCATCAACATCTAAAATTTAAGCTTTCTCCCATGGAAGTTTAGCCTTGTTGTCCTCATCATTTCCAGACTAACATTTTGACAGTTACCAACCTTGAGTGACTAGAGAAAGTCCTTACAGGTCACAATTTCTTCCTAATAAAAGAGCTAGACTTAGTGATTATTTTATTCCTAGACAAAATAGTTGCATTTATTCAGTGCTCATTTGCTACATTTGAGTATTTAATTGGGGCATACTTAAAAAATTTTTTTAGCCTTAAAAGGTTTAGGTTTTCAAATTCAGATTTGATGAAATGGCTACAGCCTTAAAAGAGACTTCTCTAAAGAAGAAATAACAATGTCCAACAGTCACATGAAGAGATGTTCGACATCTCTGACCATAAAAGAAATGCAAATCAAAACAGAATTGAGATTCTACCTCACCCAGTTAGAATGGTCATTATCAAGAAAACTAATAACAGATGCTGGCAGGAATGTGGCCAAAAAGGAATACTATTACACTGTTGATGGGAATGTAAACTTGTTCAACCACTCTGGAAACCAGTATAGAGGTTCCTCAAAAGACTAAAAGCAGAGCTTCCCTGTGAACCAGTAATCCCACTATTGGGCATCTATCCAGATGGTCACAGACCAGGATTTACTAAAGCCACCAGCACAACGATGTTCATTGCAGCATTGTTTACCATAGCCAAGATAGGGAATGAACCCAGATGCCCCTTAGTAGACAAATGGATCAAGAAAATATAATATATATACACAATGGAATTACTATACTAAGGGAAGTAAACCAGACCCAAAGAAACATAGACTGCATGGTTTCCCTCATTTGTAATGATTAGAATGTGCCTATAAAACTACAAGTAAACCTAATGGATAGTAAAAGACAGTGAATGAAAGGAGGTGGATAGTCTTAGGAGAGGATTGCAAGGGCTCAAAAGTTAATTACATTTGATCATATAAAATGATGATTATCAAAGTGAACTCCCAGAAATGGAAGCAAGTGTTGTTTTTTTTTTTTGTACTGTTTGCGGTTCTTTTTTTTCTTTCTTTCTTTTTTGCTTTGCTCTTTTACCTTTTGTCACTGTTTTTTATTTCTATATCCTTTGTCTTTTATATAAGTTTATCTGATTTGAGGAAGGGAAGCAGAAGCACAGAAAATGTGGGACAAAGGGTAAACCAATTCAAGCTAGACACTAGACACTGTTGGAAATGAACTATACAACTTGGGAAGGGGGCAGGAGAGGAAAACCGGGGAGAGAATGAAAGAGAGGGTGTCACTGTTCAAAAGTAATGTACTCATTACCTGACTTATGTAACTGTAATCCCTCTGTACATCACCTTTATAGTAAATTTTTTTAATCTAAAGAAAACCAACAATAACAAAAAAAACTTACTTTAAGGAGTAGAGATTTGAATAAGGAACATTATTTTGAAGCATCTAGATAATAGAGCTTACTCTGTAGATTTTAAAAGTGACTCAAGATATTTGTGGAAAATCATCTTTTAAAAATGTATACAGTCATTGCTTTTCAAGGGTTCATTTTTAATAGTCACAGAAGAATGTGGAAAAGGAAGCCTCTCACCATCTCATGTCAATTCAAATACTAGATTCTTATTAATCACAGGCATCTAGCCCACCTACCTGATTACTTGCCTTGAGTTGCCAGTGCCCCAAATGTTATTTTATATTAATCAGTACTTTACCTAGGAATGTGATCTTATTGTGCAATAGAATATGAAAGCCTTCACCCATAATTACTGACAGAACCAGCTTTCATTATGTATTAAATCTTACTTTAGATTTTCTGTAAGGAAACATAAAATATAAATAAATAGCCTGTTAGGTTTGGTTGCACCATTTTTGTCTTACCCCATTACACATTGTATACCTATTATATGAAATATGGAACAATTTATATCTCACTCATTATAATGTCCACACAAGCAACATTTTCACTATTTCCCCCCTAAAATAATTTTAACATTTGATCTACATTGGGAAGTATGTAACTCCTTTAATAATTTTATACTTTCATGTTATCCTTTAATATTCAGAACAGTCATTTCCAAGTTCTTTTAAATACTAGATTTTTTTTTTAATTGAGAAGAATGCTCGTGTGTTAAGGAACAGAGCTACTCTGTGGAAGGAAGAAAGTCTAGAAACCCACATCTATACCAAATGATTTTTTGGGTAACTATACTGAATACTCTGGGCAATTGAGAACTATCTGATTTTTTGTTCAGTTGCAGCAGTAATTAATTATTCTAACAACTAGAGGGTTTTGTTTTCCTAGTTAATAAACTTACATTCTCAAAAGATTACTCCCCACAGGCATTTTTAATAATTGGAAAAAAGTATAGCAATGAGTTAATTCATGATCATATTTAATTATTTCATGAAATAAAAATAAATTAGCCATGTTCTTCATTAGTGCAGTAGGTTTAAGTAGGAATTTAAATACTTTTTAAATACTAGATAGCATGATAATAGAAACCATTTTTAAAAAATCACTAACAGTTTAACTACTAATATTGTAAAAAGAAAATTATTTTTTGTTATCATTATTTTTAGTTATAATTTATAGAAGGTTGTTTTGAGACATGTTTTAGTTAATGATCACAAAATAATTTTTATATACCGAAAGCAATAAATAAAATTATCTCCTGGATAGAAATGTATGTTCTTCAAAGAGCAGTACAGTTTTCCATGATTTCTAAAATGATTTTCATTTCTTCCTTTTGGGGGAAAAATCACCATGTAAACAGCACCCTCATCATTTGTCTTTGAAAGAAGAGGCTTCTGATGTAGTTCGTCAAAAGAAGAAGTACCCAAAGAAGCCTAAAGCAGAGGCTTTGATAACATCTCAGCAGCCCACTCCTGAGACATTGCCTGTGATCAGTAAGAGTGACATTAAGCAATATGACTTTCACAGCTCAGATGAAGATGAATTTCCACAGGTGCTTGTTTTTAAAGACATTTTCTCTTACTCTTTTATATTGCTATATTTTAAAAACAGAATTGACATCTTACAATTTTGATTCTTGCTTTGTTCATCTACTATTGAAATACATTTCTGCATATCTGTATATGTGTGTATGTATTAAACACTGAAATACAAAGTAAATACTAAATTAGTATATGCTTTCTATTTCTCTGTCAGTTGGATAGAATTCTGTTCTGTAACATTTAGTTGATTTTTAGTTTTTTTTTTTCTTTTAGAAAAGTGAGCAACTTTATATTCTCTTAGTATTTGGGGGGGGGAAGGTCCAGTCGTGGGGCCTGAACTCTGGGCCTGGGCGCTGTCCCTCAGCTCTTCAGCTCAAGGCTAGCGCTCTACCACTTGAGCCACAGAGCCACTTCCAGCTTTTTCTTTTTGCTTATGTGGTGCTGAGGAATCGAACCCAGGGCCTCGAGCTTGCAAGGCAAGCGCTCTACCACTGAGCCACCTTCCCAGCCCTCTCTTAGTATTTAAATGGATCTTTAGAAATGAAATTGCTAAGCCAAAGATTATCAGTATTTTAGGGAACTTAAGCATAATTGTAAATAATTTCCTTTCTACTGGTATAATATTTCAGAACAATTTTTATAAGTGCTGTTTTTAAAAAAATGAGATTTTTATTTCAGATATTAAAGAATCAGGTTCTTTTGGTTTTGTTTTTAAGTTACATTATCAGTATCTTACACCTTCCTGTTCTTTTTTAAATGTATAAAAAACTGTGTATCCATTTCCAGTTTTATCATATTTTAATATTTTTACTTGTTTGCCTATAAAGCAGTATTCTTTTAGGAACCATTATCACAAATGTGTTTGGAAGCAAGGCTGTTTGTAAACCTCTTTATTGATATAACTATTTAAAATCTAGAATTCATATAATGGGTCCCCTTTGGCTGGATTATTTTTGCTCTGTCACTGAGTTTTTGCTATAAATGTTATTTATATGCAAAGTAACAAATGTACAGACATGTTTCATTGTGTATATTCATGAGAACCACTTAATGAAACCCAATTGTAAGGCAGGCAAGGCTTTGAATAGACATAAGGTGTTCATCAGATGACCATTTGAAAGAATGGTTATAGTAACCTAACAAAGTGTTTGACCAGGTAAAGAATTTAGAGAAAGGTCACAGACAGAGAAGACAGTGTTAGAGGAAACTGCTACTAGTTTGGTATTGCTATAGCAAAAAAAACAACAGAAAAGGAAGAGAGGGTAAATGGGATGATGTAGTAGTAGACTAATGGCCTCTTTGGACATACACATTATAGGAAAGTCAGAAGATATTCCAGTTATATAACTATATGTAGAATGTGTTACAATTATACAAGAGAGACCCTAGAAAATGTTGCTGTATGTTCTGTGCCCATTAGGAGGGATACCATTGGATACTATGATTTTGAGGGAGCTTTCCCTTATTTTCCCTTATTGTTAGACTCAGTATATCCGACCTAAGAGAAGGTCTTACTCAGCATAACTGGTTATTTATCTCTGACTTGGGCTTTATTCAGTGAGGGAGCTTTAGAATGTAGCTCTTCTAAATTCAAAATTGTACAAAAGAAAAGGATTGTTGAGGTAATTATATACTGCTTCTTGGTCCAATAAACAAAGAACAAGTGAGTAATGAACCTTAAAAGAAGAAATATTTTTACTAGACTTACTGAACTGATTTGTAGGAGGATAAAATGAAAAACTCTGTCTCTGACTCTCTATCTCTGTATTTCTGTCTCTGCCTCTCCCCTCAACCCACCCCACCTTCCTCCCTCCCTCCTTCCATTTTTACCTCCCTTCCTGAGTTACTATTAAGACTCTTAGGGCCTTAGGTTCTTGTTAATTGAAAATAAGAGTCTCTTGGACTTCTCTGCCTAGGCTAGCTTCAAACTGCAGTACTTAGATTTCAGTTTTCTGAGTAGCTAGTATTACATGCCTGACTTACTGGTTCCCAGCTCTTTCTCTTCTTGATTATCCTTATGGTTTTCCTGTCAGCTCTCTTTTCCTATGTCACAGCCTTTGCATGCATCCTGGAATCTACCCCAGGGAACTGTAGTTGATAGGAAGAGGTGATAAACTTTAGGCAAAGATTTTCTGACTTTGGTTTTGACCATTCCTTGTATATCTTAAAGACGTAGATAACTGCAAAGAAAATAAAAGTATAAAATTCACCCTTGGGATTACCTTTCCAATTTCAGGTTTGGGATTTGGGAAGAATCGTCTCCAGTTGACTGTTTCTGTCTTCCCCTATAAGGTTATTGTTGGTATATTGAAACCTCAGACAAATGCCTTTCTCCCATATATGACTCTGTTCAGTGTGCCAGTGGTAAATACCACTGTGAAAATAATACAGAGAGAATTTTTTCCTCTTGAAATAGAAAAAGAGGAAATTGTGAGGTCCAAAAGTATGCAAGGAAATATGGTTGAACCAGGGTTTTTCAAAAAAAAGAGATGCAATGCAAAGTGAAACTTAGGTACCAAAAGTTTATGTTGTTGTTTAGCCATTACAAGTAGAAATGTATCTAAAATATTATGTCTTTGACATGTCAGAGATACGTCTTTCAGAGATATATATGCTACTGTATGTCATTTAACATGTTTTGTTTTTGTTTTTTTGGGGGGGTCCGGTCGTGGGGCCTGAACTCTGGGTCTGGGCGCTGTCCCTCTGCTCTTCAGTTCAAGGCTAGCGCTCTACCACTTGAGCCACAGTACCACTTCCGGCTTTTTTCTTTTTGCTTATGTGGTGCTGAGGAATCGAACCCAGGGCTTCATGCATTCAAGGCAAGCGCTCTACCACTGAGCCACCTTCCCAGCCCCATTTAACCTGTTTTTATAACATTCATAAAGTATAACAAAATGTGTCGGTGCTGTTATAGGGACCACCCTAAGATTATAAAGGGATATTTGGCTTAATATCACATGGCTCAAGTAGAATGCTATTTAATGTGCAGCCTTTTAAAAATACTTTTTTATTTTTTTTATTATTTTTTGGGGGCTTACCACTTAATCACTGCAAAATAACTGCTTAATTTAACAAGTCTTCTTGCCTCTCCTTAAATTTAAGTTTTAAGTGAAGTGATTATTATAAAGAAAATATAAAAGGGAGTTTTGTGGTTTTTCAATTCTCTTTCGTATAAAATATATGGCTTTTATGGCTTTGGTGTATTCTTTCACTTTCTACCTGTTCTCAAGTCTCTTTACTTACTAGTTTGGGGCTTTTATGGAAAGAAGTTACTGAATAAAAGCACACCTAACTACAGGCGAAGCCTGTCATTATCATTAACTGTAAGAATTCTTGCCCTGGCCATTGGTGGCTCATGCCTGTAATCCTAGCTACTCTGGAGGCTGAGATCTGAAGATCTCAGTTCAAAGCCAGCCCAGGCAGGAAAGTCTGTGAAACTTTTTTTTGGGGGGGGGCGAGGGGGTCCGGTCGTGGGGCCTGAACTCTGGGCTGCCTGGGCGCTGTCCTTCCGCACTTCAGCTCAAGGCTAGCACTCTACCACGTGAGCCACAGCGCCACTTCCAGCTTTTTCTTTTTGCTTATGTGGTGCTGAGGAATCGAACCCAGGGCCTCAGGCATGCAAGGCAAGTGCTCTACCACTGAGCCACCTTCCCAGCCCCTCTGTGAAACTCTTATCTCCAATAAACCACCAGAAAACCAGAAGTGGCGCTGTGGCTCAAGTGGTAGGGCACTAGCATTGAACTGAAGAGTTGAGGGATGGCGCCCAGGCCCACAGTTCAAGTGCCACAACCAACAGAAGAAAAAAACAAAACAAAACAGAATTCTTAGCCATAAATAATATTTGCTTATCTTTAATTGTTTGGGGGAATTTATTGGCTAGTAGATATAAATAAAGAAGTGGTGTTTGTGTCAAAGTGTAATTTTAAGTCATTGCAAATACTGATCTATTGACTTGATAACTATTCAATCAAACACCTATTTATCCAGGTACCATCCCCAGTATCCGAACCTGAAGAAGAAAATGATCCTGATGGTCCCTGTGCTTTCAGAAGGCGAGCAGGATGCCAGTATTATGCTGTAAGAATTTTTCCACATGTGATGTTTTTGTGAACTGGAATTAACATATTAATTAATTTGAATAACATACCATTCCACTCATCTGTCCAGATGACTTAAACTTGATCTAAAATTGGGACATGCATGAGTATTTTTTATTTCACATCCCCTATATAGACACCAATAAAAATGATTCAGAGTCCTTTCAAAAGACAGCAAATTGCTTTATTTGGAAATTTGACAATTCCTCATATTTTAGAAATCTAGTCCACTTAGATTTTACTTAAATAGTATGAGGTTGGCCTCAGAATCTCACTTAAGTTGACTCTGAAACTTCTGGTGGCTGCTGAAAACTAGTTGCGACTTATCCCTGTAAATCTCTTATGTACTTAATATCAAACTAATCTTTTTTAAACTTCTCTTGTAAAAGTTTTTTATCTGAGCCAGGCACCAGTGGCTCTCACCTGTAATCCTAGCTACTCAGGAGGCTGAGATCTGAGGATTGCAGTTCAAAGCCAGCACAGGCACGAAAGTCCTGTAGTCAGAACTTTTTAACATATTTAGAAATCTTTCTGCTATTAAGTCTATTTTGGGTACAGCATTATATAAAGGATTGGCTTTCCCCCAATACTAAAGTTTGCTGATAAGATATATAATTGGAGAATTACAAGATAGTTTTGTTTTTGTTACAAGGCTATGGACACCATTTGTCTTGGTTGTGTGTAGTAAACATACATCTTTTTCAGGGTATATTTAATGTAGAAGAGATTAGTATTTATCTACAAGTTACACTCATAAGAGAAGGGAAAATTATTATGGGAAAGAGGAAAGAGGCCAAATTAATAACACGAATAAATAAATGTATATGTATAGTGGGAAGGAAAGGAAATTAGCTGCATGTTACTTAAAAGTAAACAGAAGCCAGACACTGGTGACGTCTGTAATCTTAGCTACTCAGAAGGCTGAACTCTAAGGCTCACAGTTCTAAGCTAGCTCAGAAAGGAAAGTCTGTGAGACTCTATTTCCAGTTAATCAACAAAAGACCAGAAGTAGAGCTCTGGCCTAAGTGGTAGAGCACTAGCTTTACAAAAAGGTCAAGGATATTACTCAGGCCCTCAGTTTAAGCACACACACACACACACACACACACACACAGGAAAAAAAAAAGTTTTAGCTTGATTCATACTTGCTTAGAGTACAGTTTTTAGTCAAAAATAAATTGATTTTGGTTTATCACAGTAACATGACTATAAATTACGGATTTTACCAGTTGTACTTTCAACACAAGTATTAAAATACATGCTATTCTTTTAAAGGTATGATTTTTAAATATATGCCACATGTATTTATATTTATCATCTAAATCAGTTTGAGAAAGTAAATGAATGATTTTTTTTATTCAACTCTAAATTTTAACCTAGATAATAATATTTAAGCCACAATTTTAATTTTTCAGTTTTTATCCAAATGTAATTGTTCTTCTAATGCTATTTTTTAAATCATGATTTAACTTTTCTTTAAGAGTTACTCCACAAGTTTTATATTTTTTTTCTTTACAGCCTCGTTTGGACCAAGCTTACCATACATGTGAAAATTCAGAATTGGCAGATTTAGATAAGTTAAGGTATAGGCATTGCCTTACAACACTTACAGTCCCAAGAAGATGTATAGGATTTGCAAGAAGGCGAATTGGCAGAGGTGGAAGGTAAATTACTTGTTTGGACCTGGTTTTGTTTACAATCTTCAGTGAAAGTTTAGAAAAGTGGTTATGTTTCTCTCATATGCATATATATATATAAATGCTATATGTTTATTTTCAGGGTCATAATGGATCGAATATCCACAGAACATGATCCAGTCTTGAAACAGATAGACCCTGAAATGCTGAATAGTTTTTCAAGCTCTTCCCAAACTGTAGACTTTTCTTCTAATTTCTCTCGGACCAATGCTTCCAGTAAACCTTGTGAAAACAGACTGTCCCTTTCTGAAATATTAAGCAATATCAGATCATGTCGACTACAGTGTTTCCAGCCAAGGCTACTAAATTTACAGGACAGTGATAGTGAAGAATGTACCTCAAGAAAACCAGGGCAGACTGTGAACAATAAAAGAGTTTCTACAGCATCTGTAGCTTTATTGAGCACCAGCAAGAATGGCATATCAGGTAAGCTATCACTGTTAATAGTGTTCTGCTCTATTGTCTTTAGTTTTCATTATTCCCCTAAATAATTTTGGAGACATAATTTTCCTAATCTCACTCATGAAAGAAATTTCATTATTAACCTACTACATTTTTTTTATAGAACCCTACTAATGTTTCACATTTTAACCAAGATGTTCTAACTGGTATCTGTAAGACAGTTGTGTGTATTTGGAATGTGAGTGTCTGGTGTGGTAAATATGTGGGCAGAATATAGAGTTCCCTGTGTGCACACTGCTTACAAACTACCATAAAATGACAGTACCACTTCTTATATTTAAGAGAAATTTTACTTTTGTGTACTAACTTTGATGAAATGTAAGCATTGCACCTTAAATATTCCAGCAAAAGCTTATTTCTAAAAAACAAGTTTTTCAAAACTCCCAATGAATAGTTAGGACTCTTGTCTAATAGCATACCTTTCTAGTTGAGCTCAAATCTCTTTTTAATCTTATTAGGAGACATTGTGCTTGATTATTTTTATGATATATATGTTATAGACAAAATATAAATTTAGAAAATCTAAAAGCTTTAATTTGTTTTCCTCTTGTATACAAGCATGTGTAATTTCTAAAGTTTTTGTAATGTGTTCATTGTAAGGAATGCATGGTATCCTATGGAAGAAAATAGGTGTTATAGCTGGGAATGTGGCTTTGTGGTAGAGTGCTTGCCTTGCATGCATGAAGTCCAGGGTTTAATTCCTCAGCACCACATAAACAGAAAAGGCCAGAAGTGACACTGTGACTCAAGTGGTAGAATTCTAGACTTGAGGAAAAGGAGCTCAGGGACAGTGCCCAGCCCCTGAGTTCAAGGGGAAGGAAGGAAATAGGTGTGATTTATATTGTTGACTGCCTTTCTTTCTGTAAAATGAACGTATTCCTAAATTATTCCCTGATTTCTTTAAAGTGATTTAAAATTGTTTTAGAGCTTGAAGTTTGGTCTCAGTTTTTAATCTTTCTTATTTACTAAACTGTCTGCTTTCAATTTAAGACATTTATCTAGTTAAAGGTTGTGATGGAAAATTATGTTTGTTTAAATGAATGGAAGTTGGCATATCATTTTCCCAAATTAGTTGGTTAATTTTCTCCTAAATGAACTTAGGTAAGGAAAATGGCATCCCATTATATAAATTTCATGAGTCTATGCAGTTTAATGAACTTTTGAAGCTGAAATGGATTAATAACTAGTATCATTTGAGGTCACAGGGTTTTAAGCTAAAGGTAGTAGGAAGTTGAACAGTATTATACAAATATTTTTCAGCCCCCTTCCAAGATATGGTTTAAATTCTTTAAACAGAACAGAATTTAACAATTTAACAGAAACAATGTGTGTGTGTGGGTGCGTGCGTGTGTGCGTGTGTGTGTGTGTGTGTGTGTGTGTGTTTGTGGTCAGTCATGGGGCTTGAACTCTGGGCCTGGGCGCTGTCCCTCAGCTCTTCAGCTCAAGGCTAATGCTCTACCACTTGAGCCACAGCACCACTTCCGATTTTCTGAGTGGTTTATTGGCGATAAGAGTCTCACAGACTTTCGTGCCTGGGCTGTCTTTGAACCTGGATCCTCAGATCTCAGCCTCCTTAGTGTCTAGCATTACAGGCGTGAACCACCAGGGCCTGGCCAGAAGCAAAGTTTAAACAGAAATTTCTTTGCCAAAAATGATTTTGCCAAAAGGGAGTTCAGAAACATTCTCTATATATACACTTAAAATTGCATTGGATTATAAACTGATTTTTTTCTCATTCTATACCATATAAAACAATTTTAATGTATATCTTCTCAACTTGAACAGGATCAGATATTAGCAGCAAGTATATCATATTTGCATCATATATAGTATTATACATTTTGTATTCCAAATAGACGATAAATTTAATCTGGCTTTTTTGTTAAAAATGTGTAAGTTAAATATATGTTTTAGAAAACTTAAATCCCAAGTTTGCAATGCTAATATCATAGTGACTAAAACTTGTTATTTCTCCTTTATCATTAGGGGGGAAAAGTCTTTTTGACCTGCTGTCTTTCCTATATTTTCAAACATGGAAGTCCCATTTCTCCTTTTGAAAACATAAAGGCTTAAGCAAAACTAAGATGCACTAGACGTCAATATTTTAAATCAGAACTTTTATATCAACTGTTTATTAGTAAAGAAGAGGAATTAAGTATTTCCTTCCTTATTGACTGTGACCTTCCTTCAGGCTATGAGTCTTTTTCTTTTAGCAAAGTTAATTTAAATATTAGGCATGGCAGTTGGAAATATGGTAGAGTGCTTGCCTATCCTATTTGAGGTCTTCAGTTTGATCCCTAAGCACTATTACTCCTCCAAAAACAAAAAAAATGTAGATATGGAAATATGATAATTGAAAAGCTGTAGTGATATTAACTTCCCATTTATATTGTTATATTCATTACATCATTTTCTCAGTTCTAACAAGATAGTAAGTATATTCAGTTATAGTTTAGTAAGTACCACAGTAGATTCCCTATTTTTTTTCTTACAGGAAGGATGCAGGCATTTTCAAAAATTTTCTTTTAGGCTGGGCACAGGTGGCTCACACCTGTAATTCTAGCTACTCAGCTGTCTTAGATCTGAGGATCACAGTTCAAAGCCATCCGAGGCAGGAAAGTCCATGAGACTCTTATCTTCAATTGATTATCAAAAACTTGGAAGTGGGACTCAAGTGGTAGAATCCTAACCTTGAGTGGAAAAAGCAGCTAGGCCCTAGCCCCAGGACTGGCACCAAAATAAAAAAATAAAAGTGTATGTACTTGATTTCTTTTGCTCTATGCCTTTAAACAGTCTGTCTTTTGCTTGTTCTTAATGAGATTTATCATGTGTCTTTAAAAATTGGAGACTGACACACAGGTCCATATTTTTATCTGGCAGGTAGTATCACTAGATTAATCTATTAATACTGAATTTTCCTTCATAGTTGAAAATTCCCAATAAATAAAAGCTGGATTACAAATAGAAATCTTGGGGGAGGCTGGGAAGGGATGTGAAGGGTAAACCAAAGGAGGAGGCTGCAATGCTTGGTAAGAAATGTACGCATTATCCTGCCCATGTAATTGTAACCCCTCTGTACAGTATGTTCACAAATAAAATAAAATTAAATTAAAAAAAATAGAAATCTTATGTACTTGGCAATAGTATTTTTTTGTATCATAAGTTCCTTGGTTCTTAAGGAAAGTGAGCAAGCAAGTAGGTTGAGGTTGAGGACTAGTAGCAAGGAGTTTTCTTCTGTTGATAATATCCCTTGCCACTAATATTTATTGGTCCAAATTTATTCTATTTTAGGGCTGGGAACGTAGCTCAGCGGTAGAGTGCATGCCTTGCAAAATTATTCTATTTTAGTGGTAAGGTTAATTTTCAATTTAGAGACAGTCTTGCTATATAACGCAGGCTGACCTCCAACTTATAATTCTTCTGACTTAGTTTTCCAGGTTCTGAGATGACAGGTATGTGCTACTATACCTAGCTTACATATGGTTTTTTTGTTGTTGTTGTCTTTTCTTTTTTGGTACTGGGGATCGAACCCAGGACGTTGCGCTTGCTAGACAAGCGCTTTGCCACTGAGCTACATCCCAGCCGTTACATATGTTTTTATAAGTACCGCGCGCTAACCAATTGTGCACTGGAGCTCCTTCTTACATAGGTGATAGATTGTGCTGAACATGGGAAGTGAAATAAACAAGAAAACTATTTCGTACATAATTATTTTGGATCTATTAATGCGAAGCTCTTTGTTAAATGTTTTAAAAGCACCATTAAAAAAAACTCTATCCTTAAGAAACTTGTAGCAAATGACAAATATTATAATTTTATAGTGTTTTTAAACTTCCATATTATTTATTCTTTAAAATGATTTTCTTTAATATACTTTTACTATCTTTAAGTAGTTGTACAAAGGAGTTGTCATTCAACAAAGCAATTTATGAATATAATGCATCTAGATTAATGTCACCCTTTCAACCCAAAACTCAAGAAGATATATTTCTTATCTAAAAGTACCTTTCTTATTCAGACTTAAAGAACAAGACTGATTTGTATTTAATCTTAATTTTCACTGATTAAAATTAACATTTTCTCACCTATCTTGGTAGATACCAGCATCATTTTTAATTAGCTATTACTTATTAATGTTAGTAGTTTGTAAAATAATTAACAAATTAGTTTGTGTACTCTTCCAGAAGAAATTCTAGATTTTTAATCTATTCAATTTCTTTTAGAAATTGTCGTGAAAAAATATTTGCAAATATAAAGCTTGTAGGATAAGTAAAACTGCTTTATCAACTAAGATGAGAGAGAGAGTGTGTGTGTATTTTTAAAGGTTGCTTCTAAAGGTGAAAAGAGCATTCCCAGATCTGAAGGATTAAAATATTTTAGTTTCATTGCTAAAGAAAATAAGTTTTTTTTTATCGTAACTATTTAGCTTGCTGTCAGATATTGAGGTGGCTTTTTATTCCGCTTTCATTACCCTCACACTCATTTCTTCCTCATTTCCCATCCCACTTACCTACCCACCCCCAATTTGAATTTGTATTTTCAAATTTTTGAAAGGAAAAATAGATGTATTTTCAGTTAAAATTTTGCCTTTGAGCTACCAAATAAGCTAACCTGAGAATGTAAGGGATGCTGTGCATTTCCTCTTTCCCTTTACCCCAAAAATGATGAAACTGTTAGAAAAATCCTTTGTATTCCAGTGTGTCAGAATTACTGTTTGCTGTTTATGTAAAGAGTTGCACTAATACTAAATAGTCCTCCAAAAATTTCTGGGTGAACATTAGCTCATTTGAATACAAAACACCTTGTTTAAAAAAAGGGGGGGTTGGGGAACTTGAATGTTTAGAAATAGGAATAGCATACTGAGCTCGGGTGAGAGAAAAGAGAGGAGAAATGTTAATGTAATTTTTAAACCAATTGTCATCCAAAAATAGAATCAGGAATGTAATTTTTATATCAAAGTCAGCCAAAACTGACCATTAATCTAAATAATTTGAATTGAGATTATATTGGGTTTTTATGCTTTCTGTGAGGAGAAAAGAATGGAGTTCCTGAGCAAACTAATAATCTTAACCATATAGTCAATAAATGTGTACATCTCAAATATCAGATAGTTTTATCAGCACCTCTTTTATATATAAATTTGTAAAAGCAAGCACAAGTCCTCTAGTTGACAATATTTTATTAGCCATGGACAACTAACTAAAGTTTTGGGGTTTTACCATTCATTAACTGAGGCTTGAACTTAGGGCCTGTGCAGTGTCCCTTAGCTGTTTTATTCAAGGCTGGTATGTTACCACTTGAGCCACAGCTCCATTTCTATCGTTTGGATGGTTAATTGGAAATAAGAGTCTCATGAACTTTGTTGCTTGGGTAGCTTTGAACCACAATCCTCAGATCTTAGCTTCTCAAGTAGCTAAGATTACAGTCATAAACTACAAGTGCCTGGCTTCAACTAAAGTTGGGGGGTGGGGGAGGGTGGACTTTACTAATTGAACATCCCTAATCCAAAAATCTGATACCTAAAATTCTTTGCATGTTGTACAGTCAAAATGTTTGAATTTTGGAGCAGTTCAGACTAGGATAGTCAGTGAGCCTGTACTTAATTCTGAATGAGTGGGATTTTTGAAAAAGAATAGAGTCACTCATATTTTTCTTGATTTTGAAATAGCCACTGTGATATGGCATTCTCTTTATTTTATGTTTTCTATTTTTAATATGACAAGACCAGGTATTGAATTTAGGGTTTCATGCTCTCTCATAAGCTTTTCCCCTAGCACTTTTTCATTTTAGAAGTCTGTCTTCCACAGAAATCCTGTCTTCTGATTTTTGCTTGTTAAATGGAAATCAGAGTCTCTCGGATTTATCTGCTGAGGCTGACTTTGAACCAAAATCCTCAGGTCTCAGCCTCCTGAAGATTACAGTCATGAGCCACTGTTGTCTGGCTCTTTATTTGATTTACTCCTCAGTGTTAGGACTTCCCAGAATCTCACTTTTTACAACATAAATTTCAGCTCTGGTCAGACAGCATTGGATTTAAGGACTTATTCAATAATAAATTTCAAATTTATTTCTTTTGAAATAGAATACATACTCTTAATATATGTATAGAACTTGAAGATTTATTTAGATTTAAGGGTTTCCCTCCTGCCTTTTTATCTAATAAGCTATTTTCATCTCTTTCCCCCAAGGTTTTGAAACAGCTGGAAATTCATGAATATATTACATTTTCATTTGATTTTGAAGATTGTAACTTTAGAATTAATTTTTTTCATTTAAAAGTAGAATACTTGCAATGAATTTAACATGCAAAGAAAAAACATTTGATTTGTTGGTAATTCAGTAAAATAACTAATGTGTACTTCAAAAATACAGGTAATGTTAAGATTTTAGAGTGAGCAGTACAGTAATGTCAGTGTATCTAAAGCTTTGCTCATATAGGAGACCTAGCTCCATTTTTATAGAGAATACATTTTCACTAAGTGCAGTTTGTTATAAATTTTAATTTACTTTTTAAAAAATATTTTCTCATTTGAAGAGAAAACTTTGGGGAAGTCAAGTAACCTTGTCAGAGGATGTGATTTTAAAATTTTTATAGTTCATATAGATTAGATTGCCTAACTGCATGTAATTATTAACTCATACATGGTGTTTCTTTATATGTGTATTTTCTTTCCAGCTGTGTCATTAGACCTTATACCAAGAACCCTTTTCCTAGTCACTGTAGCTCTTAGTGCAGTGTTGTGCATCATAATAGATAGTAAATTCTTATTGATTAAATGAAATCGAGAGACAAGAAAGAAGAAAAGTAGAGTGGGGCTAGACATGTGACACAGTAGTAAAGCACCTGCTTTGTCTGCATTGTGGTATGCAGTTAAAAGTAACTATTAGAAACTTTTTACCATATGCTATTAAGGAGATTATGGCTATAAGTATATATCACAATTGATAGACTATTAAATTTTGTATTACTTTGTATAGTTATGCAAAGGAGTTTCAGTTCAACATGTTGATTTACTTTTATTGGGTTCTTTGTTGGGGCATATTGTAATTTGTATTTGATTTCATCTTAATTTTAAAATAAGTTTATATTAATTTTCCTCATTAAAATGCTTTAAAACCTATTTACTTATCCTTACCAGTAACAGGGGGCATCACAGAAGAGCAGTTTCAGACACATCAGCAGCAGTTAGTTCAAATGCAAAGGCAGCAACTCGCTCAGCTTCAGCAGAAGCAGCAATCCCAGCATTCCTCGCAGCAGACACATCCAAAAGCACAGGTAAATCTGTCTCATTCTTCCTTTTGTGGTTTATGTGGTTTTGCTCAATTTTAGTCAAATTACAAGAAATAGCTTTCATAGTTCCACTCTTAATTTTGAAAATCTAATATAGATTTCTTTTTGGTTAGTTTGCATAACTGTAAGAAAATAGATTTATAAACTAATCTAAATATTTTTGTTTGGGTTTTTTGCATTTTGTATTGTTTTGGTTTGTGTACTGGGGTTTGAAACCCAGGACCTTTCATTTACTAGTCAGGAGCTTTACTGCATGAGCTACATCCCTCAGCCAGTATTTTTAATGTAAGGAAGAAAAGACTACTTTTGGAGGATGTATTATTAAGAAGTCATAGAAATGGATTGTTATAAAGGCATAGAAGTAACTATTTATCCCCTTAAGATTATGCTTTTCTCATTCCTTCAAAAACTGTGCTATAGTATTGTGCAGCTGTATCTTATAAAGAGATTGTTAATTATCTTTAATTAAGCAGTAAATATCAACAACATAGTCCTTTGTCTCTGTGAATCACATTTCCCTATAGAAAATAAAATATTGCTACTATGGGAATTTGTTCATAGACACCATTATGTAAACATTGTAGACATAGGGATAAAATTGCTTCCTAAGACTGGCAATCAAACCTGCCAGTTCCTTGCCATGGACTTCCTAGAAAACTGATTGTGGACTTCTGGCCTGCAGAACTTTTCAAGAATTAATTCCTGTTGTTTAAAACCAATAAAAGCAAAACTTTGAGAAGTACATTTTAAAGTTGAATACATTGTGCATTTTAGGTTTCAAGTTTGATTCTCCATAATACTTTCTTTTTTTCTCCATCATTCTATAAGATCTCCTAAAATACTGACTGGAATTAAGTCACTGTAGGTATATTTTGGTCTGCAAACTCCGCAGGCCAAATCTGCCCACTGTGTTCCAACTCCATCTAAATGGATCTGACTTCATTGACCTTAAGGATCTTAAGTCAACCACTATGAAAACCTCATTGACTCCTGGCCCTGTTAACATTTCTCTGACATCTAAAGGTTCATCAGGAGCTGGCTCAGAGATGGCCTTTTGGCAGTAGTAACAACCAGTTTTCTACAGAATGAAGGGAGAGGCCATTTCACTTAGTTTCTTTTGCTTGCTTTTAGTGAGTCTCTTAGATAAACCAAGTATTCAGCCTGTTTCACGATTAGTCCAGTATTAATTTTTGCATTTTAACAGAAGTGACTGTTAATCATATCTGTGATTTCATTCATCCTTACATCTAGCTTGTCAAATATATTTTAAAGCCCTCACTAATACTTATTAGAAAATGAATAGAGCATTAAGTGTTTGGGATTCTTTTTATTGTCGGACATGAGGCCTGAACTCGGCCTGGGCTCTGTCCCTCAGCTCTTCAGCTCAAGGCTAGCCCTCTACCACTTGAGCCACAGCTCTACTTCTGGCTTTTTCTGCTTATGTGGTGTTGAGGAATCGAACCCAGGGCCTCATGCATGCAAGGCAAACACTCTACCACTGAGCCAACTTCCCAGCCCCGTGTTTGGGTTTCTTAATCCCCTAGTTTGTTGTTAGAAATAATTACCTGTGAGTTTTGTAGTCACTCTCCTGATTAATCTACCAAAACAAGCTCTATACGTCTTACCATGTTTGTGAAAGCATATTTTGAAAACTGAGAGTCTTCACTTTTTCCATTTTATAGGGCTCAAGCACCTCTGACTGTATGTCTAAAACACTCGACTCAGCCAGTGCCCACTTTGCTGCATCTGCAGTGGTCAGTGCACCTGTTCCAAGTCGCAGTGAGGTAGCTAAGGAACAGAACACTGGCCATAACAACATAAATGGTGTTGTCCAGCCTTCAGGTATTTATGAGGCTTCGCATGGTATTACTAACATAAAGTCTCAAGTCCTTGAATAGGGTTTGGTTTTATTTGTTCCATCCCTGAGGAAAATGTATACAAATGTTCAGTTCTACTCTTGGGAATTTCTTGGAAGAATTATGGGAGAAATCACTAGGTTTTTTTTCCCCTAGAATTTTCTCCCTATTTCTTCCTCTATACTAGATACCACATACCTGTGGAAAACTTCACTCCTGCTGAATTCATCCATAGTCTTGTCAGTTGCCTCACATGTTAGGAAATCCACTGAGCTAATTAACAATCATTTTGGAATCTTCTGTGTATTGATTAAAAGATGAAATACAGTTTAAGACAATTTATTCAAAATCTGAAATCGGCCAAGGGTCAGTAGCAGTGGTTCATGCCTGTATTCTAACTACTCAGGAGGCTGAGATCTGAGGATCATGATTGAGAGTTAGCCCAGGCAGGAAACCCCATGGGACTCTTATCTCCAGTTAACCACCAAAAAGCCAGAAGTGGAGCTATGGCACAAGTAGTAGAGCACTAGCCTTGAATTCAAGCCTCAGGAGCAGCACCAAAAAAAAGTTTGCAATTAGGTTTATATTTCTACTCTCATAAGCATACTTTCTCTGACACTTTCACTTAAGGTATATAGTATTATTGTGAAACACTGCTATTTATTTCCCAGAGCCCTCAAAGATAAATTATTCCTTTAACTATCTCACTGACATCAGAATTTTCCAATTGGGTTTACATATACCCATGGTCCTGATTGTCCCTCCTTACTGATGTTCATATACCTCCAAACTTAGGGAATCTAGCTGTCATTTCCATCTGCCCCATTGTACTTAGCTCCAGAGATGGCACATAACTGAGGCAATAGAATACTTCATAAACCTTCTTTATATAAACTATTATGTACAGTTAACTTGATACTTATTTATTACTAGAATATTTTTCTCTATATTTTTGTCATTAAATGCTAGTTTTTTCATGAATGAAATGATTGCTTTCTATTTCAGGAACCTCGAAAACATTATACTCTACCAATATGGCTTTATCATCCAGCCCAGGGATTTCAGCTGTACAACTTGTAAGGACAGTTGGCCATACTACTACAAACCACTTAATCCCAGCGTTGTGCACAAGCAGTCCTCAAACACTTCCCATGAACAATTCCTGCCTAACAAATGCAGTGCACCTCAATAATGTCAGTGTTGTTTCTCCAGTCAATGTGCATATCAATACACGGACTTCAGCACCATCGCCAACAGCCTTAAAACTTGCCACAGTTGCTGCCAGTATGGACAGAGTGCCAAAGGTTACTCCCAGCAGTGCCATCAGCAGCATAGCAAGGTGTGTTTCAAGTATCATTCTTTTTCTTAGTGCTGGCTTAGCCAGTGGGAGGAAAAGAGCCATTGTCTTTTCACTGCCTATGTGATAGATAACTCTTGATAGACTTGCTTTTTAATAGATCGTGAGGATCAGTTTAGATAGGCCCCTGTGAGTGAAGTTCCAGTAGTCCTTTACATCCTGTCACTATTATTAAGAATAAATAAAACAAGAAAAGGTCAAATACGTTGGTATTTTTTTCATTTTGTATAATACTACTATTATTATTGAAGTGTTGTACAGAGAGGTTACCATTTCATTAAGTCAGGTAATGAGAACATTTCTTTTCTTGGAAAATGTCACCCTTTCCTTTGCTTTCCCCCAGTTATCCCCTCTTGTCCCTGCACACAAATTATATAGTTTATTTTCCGCATAAAATGTATATTGAATAGCATGATTACATTTGTTTATGTTGATGCATTTTAGAATATTTCTAGAAAGTTAGAATTATTGATAATTCTATAGCAGCATTTAGATTTCCACTTACAATTTATATTTTCTGTTATATTAGGAATTATATGTTAACTTCAGAGAAGTCTAAAATTAACTCCATTTATATAACAATTATTTCAGAGTAAATTTTTGTTTCTTTTGATATGACTAATGCAAGCAGAACATAAATCAGAAAAATATATTTGTGTAAGTTAATAAGTATTGTCCTTAAACCTAATTGAATTCTAATGGAAAGTAATTTAATACTGTATCTTGCCAATGATTATTCTGAGTGTCATATATTCCATCTATTGTATTAGCCTGTTACATATTTCCTAACTAAAGTGTCATTATCTTTACTAAATAGTTCTAATCAATAATTATAAATTAGTGGAATTTTTTAAACTGAAAACATTCTTACTCCTGTCTAAAAATTATGAAAATGGAGAAAATGCTACGAAATCATGTTTACTTATAATCTGCAAATATTGAATGGTAACATTTTAGAAAGTATTAAGGTTTGTTCTGCTCTTTGCCTTATTGTAGAGAGAACCATGAACCAGAAAGATTGGGTTTAAATGGAATAGCAGAAACAACAGTAGCTATGGAAGTGACATAACCTAAAACATGTGACGTTGACCTGTGTGGATGGTGTGCAGTCATTCATATTCCAGCTGAATGCGAAAGGCGACACTCTGGATCACAGAGCGTAACAATGGACCTAAATGGACAACAGTATATCGGATATTAAATCCATATATGATGTATATTTTGTAAAATTGGGAAAATCACTACCTTGTAAAATAGTTTATTTGTATCATCAATATTATTTCTGTTACTTGAATAGTAGATATTCATCATCATGCTTTTGCACTTGAATTTGCAACTGAATGGATTTTAAAAAATAATTCTTTAATGGGATCATGAGCATGAAATGGGATCCTGCATCACTTGTTTTAACTATTTATTTTGCCATGTTTACATTTTGTATCTTGTAAAAATAAATCCAACTTTGTGTCTAAAAAGTTAAAGATTCATAGCTAGGAAATGAAATTCTTGTAATTTTTTTCTAAAGGAACTGTAAAGTTTTCACTTGGTTCATTTTGTTTCACAATTTGACTAGATGGACTTTTTGGTAAATACTTTAGTGGCATTTCACTGTCAAATATGAAGTTCAAGGCAAAATAGTATTTTCTATTACTGTGCAGGGGAAAGGGATGGATCGATACATGCAAATTTAATGTAGTAACTCACTTTTCCATATATTTTGAATGTATATTTCTATTTATAATACCAGTTTATAAAAAATAATTACACAGAAAAAAATGGACTAGGAAAAATTATGCATCTAGCACACTTAAACTGTGCAGACATGGAAATTTTTCAAGGATTACATTTTATCTGAAGACTGCGTATTTTAACTGGCTTTAAAACTGTAACACACCACATAAAAGATATTTACCAGGTATGTATTGCATTATATCATTGCAATAATTATTGGAAGTCTAGATATCGAGCCATCCCAGGTATTGGGAGGGGGGCGGGTTGTGGCAAGATTGTCTTTTTAATTTTGGAGAGTTTTCCTGTGGCTACAAGGCAAGTAACGGGTTGGAAAAAGTCTGACTGTAAGTGTTGGACACCTTCATAGTGTAGTGTTTTAGTGACTTTTTTTATACGGTTCTTGTAAATTAGATACGTGTAGTGGTGTTTCAGAATGTTTGTTTATGCACTAGTTCAGACAACTTTCCCTGTTACTTGTTCTTGATAAGTGAAAACTGCAGGGAAATAAAAAATACATATCAAAACATGGACATGCTGCATATGTGTTTATTTCACATTGTGCACACAGTGTAAGTGAAAATTTAGGGGAGATGATAGCACTTAACAGCACTTTTCATTTTCACAGTGCTTTCCAAGCATTAATGAAAAGATGTATAAGAAGCTCATCTGTGGGCACTATTGGGTTTCAGATAATCCAATATAAACTACCTTTGATATGAAAAGTTTTTAAAATATTTTACAGAATGTAAGTAATTTTCAGTATAGCAGTCATGGAAATCTCCTAAATGAGCCTCATTTTATAAATAAAAGTTTAGAGTAGAATTATATTGCAAGGGGTTTTTGTCAAGTAAGTACTGGGAAATGTAAATATTTTAATAAATACAATTAAAACCATTTCAAATTTAACATAATTTTATACTTTACATTTTTTATATCTGCAGCCCTGGAAGTCGTAAATTGATATGTCAGTTGAATTAATGGGCCAAGATTTCTGCTGAGAGTGATTTTTTTATTCAGGTCCTCTATGTAAAGCAATTTATGGTCAAAACCATAGGAAAAAATAAATTTAATTTCTTCATTGGTTATGACCTGATAGGATCCATGCTCATTTCTGCCATACTACCTCTGGAGTTTCTCATTGCTGATTATATAAAGGAAATAATTTTTATCTGATATGTATTATGATTGTGTTCCTTCTGCTTATAGTTGGATGTATCTTCTTGCTATTAAGAACTTAAAACAACTTTAGTGCCAATTTTAGCAAAAACTTTTTCCCCTATTTACTAAAGCATGAAGTCAATTTGCCTTATGTGATATCTATATATATGTTATAAATAAGTAAATCAAAAGATCTATTTGTACAGTTTCTGGAGGTTGTGACATATCCAGAACTTATCAAAGATTGATGATAATTATTGTTCCTTTTGAAGTAAAATAGAAAAAAAAGCCTTCCTTATTTTGGTGGTTGTAACTGTTTTATGGATGGCATTTCAGGTACTTGCATACACATTTTTCCAGTGCTTCTGAAAAACTGAAATGACAGATACTTATGGTCACATTGTTAAATGGAAGGGTAGTTAATTTCTTCTCTGGCCATATGCTGGACAGTACCACCAACACTTGGTTTTCTGAGAAAGCCAGTATGGGTACTTGGAGCCGTTAGAATACTGGGAAAATGTACTTCTTTCTAGGATGGTGGGTATAGAATGGATTTTCTATGAAGGACTAACTCCTTGCTAGGGTATACTTTAATTCAAAGATGTTTACAAACTGCAGTTTTTGCCTTCCAGTAGAGAATACCCCTGTTCTTTATCAGTAACTCAAAGTGATTGTGATATATCTATATAGTTCTAAGCATATTTGAGGATATTTTGCATACATTTCTTTTATAATAGATCAAGAAAAAATAAAAATGGAGGGCATATATTTTAAAAGATATACATATGATATACACTTTATGTACAACTGTGATTAGTGGTTGTTTGGGTTTTTTTTCCTTTCAGTTATTACTCGTGGATTGGGTAGTAAAGGTCGGGAGAATATTCACAACTAACATTTTTTCCCCTGGTATATACAGCTGCTTTTGAGTATAACACTATGTTTTTCAACAGTTTCGTTAACAATATACTTTCATCTGAAGTGTTGTATTGGCAAACTACTCAGTTTTTAAAGGTAAGGATACCTCAAGTAATTGTGAATATCATGTCCTGCAAGACGAGATGTTTCCTTTCACTGATGGCTCATCATGTGGTGGAGTTCTCACAAATGGGTAGACTTTTCCAGTTAGTCCTAACAACAGCTCTGTGGAAGACAAGTGTGCTCCCATTTTACAGAGCAGAAAGAGAAGTTTAGTGAAGTGAAATGACTTCTATGTCTAGAGCCTAGTAAGTTACTAAGCCAGGAGTTAAATTTGGGTATAGCTACACTTCTCACCATTTCCTTCCTCTCCACCCCCTGCCTTTTTGTGTGACTGTTCTGGGGCTTGAACTCAGAGCCTGGGCATTCTCCCTAAGCATTTTTAGCTCAAGGCTAGCACTTGACCACTTAGAGCCATCTTTAAAAAGAAGTCCTCTTCAAAGAAGCCATCCTCATTTTTATGCTGTGAGGCTGAATGCATTATATGTTTCTATGGCTTCCAGCCATCCCATCAATTTTTGGGGGGCCTGCCAGACCTAACCTGGAAGTATAAGTACTCTAGTGCTGTCTGTCAGCAAAAGACAGTGGAGCATTTCTTGGGCCAGGACTTAGCTGTGGTTAGCCTGTTTTGCACCTTTATTTCCCCATCTGTAAGATGAGTGAGTTCTTGCAACTATACACGCCTACACCGAGAAACTCGGTGGAGGTATGCATGCACCCATCTGTCTGGTTGCCTACTGAAGGAAATAAGCACCACCAGATCCAAGGCTGAGCATTTGGTGTAGGGCTTTTTTTTTTGTCATGGCAGTGTCATCAGGCGGGCCACAAAATTGTTTTATATAATGTGGCTGAGCTTTGGAGGAATAATATCAATACTCTTAAGTCTCAAAGTGGCATATATTCTTAGAGGTGAGTTGGGAGAGAGTTGAGAGCATAGTCAATAGGCCATTGAGAATTTGTTAGGTTGAGTTTAGTTCCTTTATTTTATTCTTGAATTAATGCATGAGTGAATGGGATTAAATTACCTCTGACTTCTCTTCCAGCCCCAAGGACATAGGAATCCAATTCCCCCTCACGCCTCCTTTGATAGCTATTTACCCAATTGGTTTTCTTGTTTTCCCAGAAGATCACAGACCCCACCATTGTCAGCATCCAACTCACACCATTACAAAGGACCTGTGTGCCCCCTTACACTCCTTGTCCTGTTGTTACTCATACCAGCTTTTTGCTGTGCCTACGAAGCTTATAGGTAGCAGTAACCATGTATTTCTCCAGCAGTAATTTATTTAGAATAGAATGCAAGCCCAGAGTGAAGTCCTATGCAGCTGGAAAATATTTCAATTTCAGTGTACAAATATGAACTATTAATTTCACAAACAGTCCATTCTAGAGCAGTAACATTTTTCACTTGTATGTTGAAAACCTTTAATCATTAGTGTATAGCACATCATAACTTTGCTTAATGTAGAGCCACCAGAGTTCATGGGCACACAACTCCTGTCTCATCCCTGCTACAGGTATTCTTGCCAACTGCACTAAATAGGTTTTAATAAAAGTGACCAAGTGAGCCCAGGTTAGGTTTAGCCAAGAGGCATGATTTCGCCTTCAGCGTAGGACATAGGTATATCATAGCTGAGTGGAAAATGACACATCACTGTGTAGGTTATGACTGCACAGGCTAAGTCACGATACCTGGACTGCATTATCTGATGAGTAAGAAAGGCTCCATTTCTGAGCTCATCAGCTTGTGACAGCATTCTGGCAGAGTATTTCTACTGTTTACAGTACTTCAGGGACAGTCTAGGCCCTTAGGAAGTGTTAGGTGGATTAAAGCAAAGCTGTGCGGCACTTTTGTGATATTATGGTGACTAGAAGTGGGTCATTGGCTTTGTGTTCACTTAGGGGAAGGAATTATAGTCATTGACAGTAGAGAGGAGTCACATTGTTATTTTAGGGGATGTCTTTGTAATTGGGTAATTTCATCTCATTGTTCATCCAAACCTTCCCCCAATTTAGGACCTTGGATTAATTTTGTGCCTCAATATAACTCACCCATTTTTTTATTTTTTGGTCATGGGTGGGGTTTGAACTCAAGGCTTGGCACTGTACCACTTTGAGCCCCAGTGCTACTTCCAGTTTGTTATGGTTAGTTGGAGATAAGAATCCCATAAACTTTGCTGCCTGAGCTAACTTTGAACCATGATCCTCAGATCTCAACCTCCTGAATAGCTAGGATTACAGGCATGAACCACCGGCACGTGGCTCTCCGTCATTTTTATAAAGAAACCAGGTGCTCGCAAATGCAAGCTTCACTTTTCTAAGTCATAAAGGAGGTCAGAACTGGAAGGGGGGAAAAAAGGACAGGTATCAGCAGTACCAAAGACTTTATGGAAGCTGGAGTGAATAAGAAAAGTGAGCTTCTGAATGGGGAATGGGGTGCAATAGGTGCCCAGCAAGTTCTCATTTCCCTTAGAACCATGCAGAAGTACATATAGTAGAGAGGAGTGATTGGTAATGAAACACAAATAATAAGTTAGCAGAGGCATGAAGTAAATGATAAGGGCATATGGGTCACAAGGTCTGAAAACAAATACTAGCCGTAGCTTCTTGTCAAGAACACCTAAGGAGAACTTTTAAACCTGAAGGTGTTGTGTGAAGGTAGAACAATGAAACCTGTTGGAATCATGGGAAGGTTGATCAGGATATGTTGTTCACATGTATCACAAACCCTCCTTGTACAACAAATGCTACTAAAAAGAAAAGTATAGATGTTGAGTGAGGCGTGGTAATTAACATCTGCAGTCCTAGCTAATTTCAGAGGCTGAGGCATGTTTGAGGCCAGCCTGGGCCACAGCAACATTTCTGGAGAAGAGAGAGAATATACATCTATAAGTTGAAAATGCAGATAGATAGATAGACAGACTCACTCACTCATTCTAGGTTGATTGCACCAGGATCTCCAAAAAGGGATGAGGAAATGAGGATACCAGTATTTTGTGCTTGTTTTAGTTGTTTGCTTGTATAATTGGTGGGAAGGTTGGTTGGTTGGTTGACTAGTTGGTTCATTGCTCTGAAACTCATAATTACAGCTAAGGTTGGTAATAACTAATTTTTCTATTTTATGGTTGTGACAGTGGATGAGCAACTTTACCAAGAAGCTCAGAATTTATTGTCTGTCAAGTAAGGGAAATTAAATATTTCCTTATTCTCATTATCTTCAAGAGAATGCAGAGAATTCATCTCCTGAGTAATTTCTGTGGCTACTACATACCATGTCAGTTATAAAAATTTCATTGTAACAACTGCTTTATTCCTGTCCCTTTAAGCGTTAGAGGTTGTAGGCTTAAAAAAAAAAAGGTTCTATTTCTGCAGTCCATTACAGATTTTAAATGTG